GCTGGACGTGGTCAAACAAGAAATGACAAGACTGAACATCGACATCTTAGGAATCAGTGAACTAAAATGGACAGGAATGGGTGAATTTAATTCAGATGACCATCGGGTATACTACTGCGGGCAAGAATCCCTCAGAAGAAATGGAGTAGCCTTCATAATCAATAAAAGAGCAGGAAAAGCAGTACTGGGATACAACCTCCAAAATGACAGAATGATCTCAGTTCGAACCCAAGGCAAACCATTCAACATTGCAGTAGTCCAAGTCTATGCCCCAACCACTGGTGCTGAAGAGGCTGAAGTTGACCAGTTCTATGAAGGCCTACAACACCTTCTAGAATTAACACCCAAAAATGATGTCCTTATCATCATGGGGGATTGGAATGCTAAAGTAGGAAGCCAAAAGATAACTGGAATAACAGGCAAGTTTGGCCTTGGAGTACAAAATGAAGCAGGGGACAGGCAGGTAGAATTTTGTCAAGAGAATACGATGGTCATAGCAAGAGACTCTACACATGGACATCACCAGACGGTCAACACAGAAATCAGAATGACTATGTGCTCTGCACCCAAAGATGGAGAAGCTCCATACAGTCAGTAAAAACTAGACCAGGAGCTGACTGTGGCTCAGATCATGAGCTTCTCGTTGCAAAATTTAGGCTTAAATTGAAGAAAGTAGGAAAAAGCACTAGGCCACTCAGGTATGACCTAAATCATATCCCTGATGAATATACAGTAGAGGTGACAAATAGATTTAAGGAATTAGATCTAATAGACAGAGTGCCTGAAGAACTATGGATGGAGGTTCACAACATTGTACAAGAGGTAGCAACTAAAACCATCCCAAAGATAAAGAAATGCAAGAAAGCAAAATGGCTGTTTGAGGAAGCTTTACAAATAGCTAAGAAGGGAAGCAAAAGGCAAGGGAGAAAAAGGAAGATACACCCAATTGAATGCAGAATTCCAGAGAATAGCTAGAAGAGATAAGAATGCATTCTATACATTTTGAACAAATATTAGCTAAAGCCATATATTGAAATAATCACTTCACTTTATTCTTTAAGAAACTGAACATGGTTTGATTTCTTTCCATACAACAGGTTTAAAATACAGATGTAGAACAAAAAACCATTTTTAATACTATACTAATCAGTGCTTATTATCAGTCCTCCTGGTAAAAGTCTTTATTGGCCACTAAAATCTCTTGTGGAGAATTCTAAAGAGATGCAGCGTTCAAATTTATTTTCAATATCCATTAGGTTTCCATCCTCTTCCTGAGATAAACCTGTCGATCATGTCCAAAGTTCTTTCAGGCTGGTCATAAGGCAAGATGTGTCCTCCACCTCGAACAATGACCTAAATTATAAAAAATAAAAATAGATATAGCACAAGGAATAAATAATGCTGCTCCAAGACATACTACACTTTGGTCCCAATACAGTAAAAATAAGATCAGGGATTTTGTAGCAGTATTAATCCACATAATATAATCAAGAATTATAGAAGTTGTAGTCCAATATATCTGGAGGTTATTGTATTGTCTACCACTCATTACTAGGGGTGCTGAACTTCTTCAAGACCGTGGGCTGAATTCCATTTTGGAAATGCTTTTGGGGCCTTCTCTATTTCTAGTGAAAAGCCGTAAGTATCTCTAGGGAACTACGTGGCCACTGATTATGCATCACCAAATGTGACACATCTTCCCAAAGATATTCACAGCTTTTTGCTAGAGATATTCATATAAGGTTTATTCAGTTCACAGGTTTGTAAGTATGGATTGTTTGTAACCTAGATGTTCATAACCTGGGGACTATCTGTACTTCATTTTAAAACTAGATGTTCCTGCTACCAATTGTGTCAAAGTTCCATAAACAGCTCGTTTCTTCTCCTCAAGTCCACATTGAGCAATACATAAACCGCGCTAGTGCTATCAATGCAGACCTTTCCTACCAAATTGTGAAGGGCCAAGTTTCCTTGAAACTTACATACACATACACCGGGGGGGGGGGGGGCTCTATCACATCATACACCAGAACATTAAATCTGATATCTTTCTCTTCAGAAGAAGATAAACAAACAACCTACTATTCCAGCAGGATTTTTAAGAAACAAGAGAGAGGCAATTTATTATTTATTTCATTTCTATACTGCTGGGCTCCAGCTGTGAAACTTCCTCACTAAAAAAGATCTCACCGGCTTTTGAATTATTTGTATGCTAGTTACTGGAAGCAGGAAATACTTTAAACATTGGAAATTAAGCTTTCAATCTGCTGTTCATATGTTATTTGTGTTAGCAGCTTTAATTATTGTTTTATTGACTATCTTAGTATTGCTGTTGGAATTTTAATGAGCATTGTGAATTGCCCTCAGATTAATATTGATTATGGATTGTAGATAAATCTTTGCATAAATAATTAAAAAGACAGACATGCCCAATACCGAAAACCTAATCCCTTCACACTTAACAAGTTGCATGTATATATTGTACTTCCTTCTCAATATGTATGCTGTAATACAAGAGACCAGTGAAAAGCTGGGCTGCAGAGCGAAAAACTAAATGGGCTGTGTATGAAGACAAAAGAAATGTTAGTGAACTCACTAATGCAATGGGACTGAACCTAAAGATAGAGCTAATATGGATGAGCTGAAAAATAAAGCTAAGTGGCATTCAATACACCATAAGAACAGAACAGCCACATACCTCAGAAGCATTGTGATTGTGATCTCTAATCTCAGGCCAACTACAATCCAAATAAACTATCCCCCTCATTTAACTAGAAACAGTACTGTGGAATACAGCAAAATGTAAGGCTTCGGTGTATAATGCTTCTTTTAAAAATGTGTTAAAAGTGTGTTAAACTATGTTGCACTGCTAATTCTTCAATATTGTCATTTTCACACATTATTTCTTCATTATAGAAACAAAACCAGAATTCAAATATTTATTCATCACTAAATGCTAAAACTAAACAACAGTGGACAGTATCTTCAAGTTACTCCAGAGAGGATCTTTCTTGGCGCCAACAAAGTCTGGAGCCTTGAAGGTGAAATGAGTCAGACTTCCTGTCTTGGCAGTGGTCTGCCACCGTGACTTCTGTAGAAGCACACAGCTGGTTGAAAGACACTGATGCAATATTTGTATTTTACAATACAGCTCTAAACTCTATAATGAAGTTAGCAACAGAGGTTTCTTACACATCCAAGCAAAGCATTTTGTAGCAAGCTAGAGGTCACCATGCCATTTCCTCATTATTATTTCAGTTTAAAAAAAAAAAATCTATGCAAGCATTTATTTTTTCCCCCAGCGATTAGCCATTTGAGTTCCAGCTGATTTTTGCTTCATATTGTGGCCGATGGAAATAGAGCAGGTTAATTCTATAAATATAATAAGTGATATTAATAAGATGCGATCCACATGTACAATATAGAGAGAAGCCTGTGTGTAGGCAGAACTTTTCAAATCACCAAAAGATTAGGCTTCCATTAATGCACAAGTCTTGTTGGACTACAGCCTCAATATGTAGTTAAGAACACATACAAAAAAATGGACTTTCAAACATGTGAAGACCCCATTGTTGAGATATGAGACTTTCCAATATGCATAATAGTACAAATGTGAAGTGCCTATATTCTTAGAAGGACCACCCTGCTCACTGAAGCTAGTGTTATCTACAGTGACTTGCAGTAAGTCTGCAGGGTTTCGTTCGGAGGTCTTTCTGCCAGAGATCTTGCAACCAGATCCTTTTAATTGGACATAATCTGAATCTTCTCCATGTAAGCAGGAGCTAAGGTCTCTCCCCCAAATAATACCACCTGGACCTGAGGCAATCACTCTGTTAACACCTTCCTTACAGGGGAAGGAAGGGGAGGGAAGAGGGGCATACCTGGGTTTAACACAAATTTACCAAGGATGCGATTTTAAGAGGTTGGTGTATATTTAACACTATACATTTTATTTCCTTCAGTTAAGATAATATAATTTGTGAGAACAGACTAAAAGAAAAATAAAGCATGGGAAAGGGGACATGGCCAAGATGCAACACCTAAAGCTTCAGCCCAGAAAGTACATTCTTTTCAGGGGTGAGAATAAGTTCAGATTACATATGCTATCCAATGGTGGTCCTTTCCTTCACAGGAACCAGATGTGGTAATTTATTTGGGATGCACACTACAGCTGATGTCTTAAAAATGTAACTTTCAGTTTTATTTAAGTTTTGGGATGTATTATGTAGTTCTTTTCTCCCTACAGTTCTTTTCTCCTAATCTAATATGACTGGACGTGGCTAAATGCTCCATAGAGGCCTACAATGTTGCTTCAGGCTTCTGAGTGCATATCTAAAGCACATCACACAGCGCTTTCCTTCAGCAGTAAAACAGCTCCATTTTTTCCCCTTTTCTATCCAGCTTCAAAAGAAACATACAGTATTAGAGACAGACAGGGGAATGACCTAGCAGAGTTCACAGGGTCCAATTCTAAATGATGTTAATGCAAGTTAAATATATAACAGTAGAATATAGGGCATTTGCTTAAATTTGCGAATATTTACTGCGATCCAAACTTCCTCTGTGACATTTTATTTAAAGGTGGACCATGGCTTTTCAATGCCAATGTGCTGTCTGATCACACAGCTTTCAAGAAATTGCAAAGAAGCTGCTAGAATGTTTGATATACATATCTTCTAATCAGTTGTTGCCACAGTATCATGGATATAAAACTGCTTTGTTTATGGCTGTTCACAGAATGAAAGAAAATTACCTGAATCCTGAGCTACATCATAAAACTATCTAACAGATGAAACACCTTTCAAGATTTGGAGATGCAAAGTTTTAGCTCCAGTGCAACATTGCCACTAAAATATTGTATTAGTTATGTCTATATTCACAATAAATGGGACAGCAGTTTGCTAGTGGCAGCAGCAGTTCAGGAGGTTCTCAACACTCAGGAAATCTGGTGTGCAAAAGGGACGTATTGTGAAATGTCAACCTCAGAGAATGCAGGAAGAATAGGAAATTAGGGTGCAAACAGGTCATGGCCAGAGAAGATGCTAGAAGCAGAGTTTCAAATTTGCTAAGAACAAAGAATGTGAAGAATATTAAAGCAACCATGAAGATTTTCCCACTTGAAATCAAAAAGTGTCTGGCTAAACTCATGTTGCTTTGGCTGCCCAGAAGTTTTAGCTTTGCTCCAGACTGGAGACTGCCTGTTTGATTGTCCTGAATGAAGATAGTGGCAGGGCTGTGTGCATGAGTAGAAAGCATCTTGAAGAAAGCCTTGAACTTTGAAGGCTCTTTCTGTCTCATGAACTTACAAGCAATAAACTACAACTCCATTTTACCTTACCTGCAAACCAGGAACTTTAGCTTAAAATAACTGCCAATTGTTAAACGAACCAGCTTGCAAACCCTGGATTGTTTGGTGTATGGGGCCTGAGCTGTAAAAATCATGGCCTGGGTCTCCACCCTTGACAAGTATTAGACCTTCCTTGGCATAAGTAGAAATGCTGCCCTAGAGTTACCTCTTGCTTAGTTCACTAAGCGTTGTTTTTCTGAGGTCCTGGGAGAGATGGTCAAAGGCCTAAACACATAGCTGTGACTTTAGTGGGCCAATTAACGAGCTTCTGCTTGGTGTTATGATTAGCATAACAAGCTCATGCTTTGCTCTATGCTTGATTAATTGGCCTATGCTATGAGAATCCTGAATGACATTCATGGAAAGTCTCCGGTGTTATGACTTGTGGCCAGCTAAGAAGAATGGGAACCTTCATGCCCCACATAGAATACAATGATGGAAAGCTGCACATAGGTTGAAATTTTTTATTTAAATAAAAACATACTACAAAAGCTGCACATAGGGAAAGAGGAAGTTGTGCACCACTTAGTCTTATCAGAACAGTGCTGCAACTAGACAATTTTAGTCCCTGGATTTAGTCTTTAGATGGCTAAATGCATTGTTTCAGTTGTGAAGTGCATTGCTTCAACTAATATTTCTCTTCTGGCACTTTCCCAGTGCTATGTTGTGCTTTAAATCCACCCCTGCATTTATGATGTGTTAGAACCACCACCAAAATCTGCCAGTCTTGAATTAAAGAAGCACCTTGTGTAGATTTGCACTTTCTATCCACTTAAGTCATGATGACAGGAATAAAATGCAGTTTGCTTCTATATTTATTTTTATTAAAAGCTTTTCTAACCTGTCCACCACTAGCATCTTGGGATGGCTTATAATAACAGGTATAAGCAGGTATAAGCCAGCAGGAAGCTTATACCTGCTTCCTTCTGGTTGGTCACTTCTCATTCAGATGTCACTGGAGTCTGGCCTCAAAGTTCAGCCCTAGCTGCACCACTGAAATCTGGTCAAGTATAAGCTAAGCTGTGTTCTATAGTCACAATAACAGCAACAATCAACAGGTTGTTTTTTAAGCAAATCCGGACTGATTTCTCCTTTCCCTGTATTTTGACTCACAAGGCCATTTTAAGAAGTATTTATTGGAAAATGAAATGTCTGTAATTTGAGACTGTGAATGACAATACACTGTTTATATTTACTGTATGCAAAGCTTACCATGAAAGCTGCCTGAACTGTTTTCTTTCATTAAAAAGTATTTACATAAGCTAAGCTTTCATTAAAAGAAACTTATAAAAGATCTTCATGTGGTGTAATTATCAATGAAGTCAGAAAAAAACCTGAGTGTTGACTAATCCCAGCAGAGGCCAATCATTTCAGGTTGTCTGGAGTGTTTACTGAATATTTTATATAAAATAACTCTGTGCTTTCTAATTAAAATATATTGTAAATTCAAATTACAAGATACCTATAATTTAACTTTTCAGTTTATGTGGCTCTTAAATCATTGTAACTGCCTAAAAGCTTCCACTTAAACATGTAGGACTTCACTCTCTATTCTGCAAGCTATTGCATGAGCAAATAAATATTACAGACTGCAGTTGTGATTGTTTCGCCTGTAGAAAAAAAAGTCCTACATCATTGCCCTAAAACTGCAGTTAAGCGATCCTTAATTATCTCTGGGCAAAAAACACCCCCGTTGTGGGCTATGACATTTTAGATTTTGTACTCAAGGGGTAGGAGGAAGAAAATACATTGACCTTTTGGTTGTTAACATAATCTCATTTAAAATCTGCCTTTTGGACTTCTGTGCTTTTTCATAAGATACCTTCCCTGTTTCAATTGGGAAGGATTAAAAAAAAATGGAGGAGAAGATAAGAAGGACTTTTGATATTTGGGCTACACTCTGCATAGCATTTCCATAAAATACCAGAAATACCATCCACATTAAGGGGGTTTTTACAGAAACTGCGGGAAAAACCAAAACAAAAAAAAGCAGAGCATGTTTGCAGAAAATCATCATGCTGCGTGTGAACACAGCTATTTGTGATAAGCTAGAACAGTGCAATAAGTCAGTACAACTATTCGCAGATATCAAAGAAAAAAAACCCAAGCCTTTTTTGTCATGAAACATCAAGTGTGAGTGAAATTTCTGCCAATTGTGACTAATAATTACCATTTCAATCAGCTACTCAGTCCTGATTTGAAACTTAGGTGGTTTTGTTTCAAATTAGACCAAATTATGTTATATTCAGTTAAAAATCCTACATTCCACTGCCCCAGAGCACTAGTAATACACAACCAGGAGCATAAAAAGTTCAGTGGCACTTATTATCTATTGCATAGGATTGCAGCCTAGATTATTTAATTTGGTTCCATCTTAGATAAATTACTGGTGAAACCATTAACTCTTTGACAAACTTTTTAAAAGTCTGGCATCAGAACAATTAGGTGCAATGGTGCTTCAGACACTGGCTACATGCCAGTGAAATGAACAGAATTGAATAATGCTGAATTTCTTTTCTTACCTGATAGAATTCTCCTGCTTGGCGTACATAGCCAGCTACTTCAGGATCTTCAGGTTTTAATTTCCATATAACTCTCTCAGCATTCTTATATTGTTCTACTTTGGCCCATGGCACAGTAGGCAGAAATCGTTCTGTCAGTGCGGCTGCCACAATGATATCCAGTTGCCCATTGTATAAGAGAACCTGGAAAGCAAGCGCCAGTCAACAACTTGTGAAACTCTCATTAAAAAGGTCCCGTGAGTCTTACAAAATCAAGTATCCATTCTATTAAGCAGTTTGCATAACAGAACAGCCAAAACCTAAAGTCAGAGAACAGGATAGGCAGATGGTTAAAGTCTTAGTCTGGAGATCAGTCATTACATCAAATGAAACTGAACTAGAGACTCTTTACAAGACATTCTTAATTGTCTGCATTTTGCCACAGAATAGAGAACTGAGCACTGCACAAAAAGTGTTTCCTTTTCTTTCCTGATGGCACTGTGTTACAAGTGCAACAGTGCAAATGTACAAGTAGAAACAGTATTTCCTTTCACCATCCAAACTAACACCACAGCACTGCTATTCTAAAAACCCTCTCAGTGAACATCCTCTAAAGACCTGTAAACAACTGTGTGTAAGGAATGATGAGAGCACAACAAATGTCTTGTATAGAAAAGCTCTTAAAGATCCAAACAGACAAAAAATGACTTAGGTGGTATATGTGTTTGTGGGATGTATAATTTGAGATTGCAGCTGTAAAATGAAGAGGATATGCTACAATAAATGATAGCTAAAACCCCCTTTGTTTACCTCAAAAATAATCAGGCTTGTGGGTCTCTACAGTGCTCTCAAAACCTGATAATCCACTCCCAAGTTAAGGCAAAAAAAGAGGAGAAGCACAAATTCTTTAACTTTGCTTGCAGAGGCACATAATATCAGGAGACAGAACTGGGCAGGCCTTCATGTAGCTTGCATGGATCTTAAACTGGCAATGACACTTCCGAATATCTTCAGAAACATGCTTTCATTCAATAATGAACAGCTGCCGTGAAACTCCAAAATGATCCTTACAGGAACTGATTATCCTAAGTGTGCTCAAGAAAGGGGTTCACTTTCTACCTCCTCTGCCACTCCACATCCCTTTGCAAGCTACAACAGGGGAATGGCAAAAGTGTAAACATATACCTTTGGACGCTAAAGGGAAGCGGGGAGACAAAGAACCAGCAGAGGAAGGCTAGAAGGTAGGGCAGAAATAAAACCTATTCAGAATGCAATAGATGCTTGAATGTTAACATTTAAATGATGTTGTGCTATTTAACATAACTAAATACCCAACCTTATTTAAGCACTGGCAGAGGTCATCCAGAGCACTGAAATAAAACAGTGCTCATACGCTCACGACATTTAGCTCTTTTGCTCTTTGTTACCTGACTCCAAAGAACCAGTTGACACCTCTGATGTTTCCTACATTCAGTAATGGACTGAATGAGAAGTGTTGCTGATCAATAGAACACCTGTGTTAGGGACTGAAATTCAACCTGTTATGGATGATGCTATGCTTGCCCTGAAAATTCATAATTTGGAAGTGTTTCTGAATCCTAGAGCAGCAGCAACAGGTGCAACCTATTACTAGTGTCCTCTTTCATCTAGTTTTTATCTTGCTTAATCCTGGTTTAAGTTCCTGGTTTAAGTTTCTCTTTAACAATCATACCTAAACTACAGTGTGGGACAGCCTATGACCTGCTTAAGTAATTGATTCCATTGTCATACTGCTCTAACAGTCAGGAAGTTTTTCCCGATGTCATGCAGTAATCCTGGCTTCCTGTAGCTTGCCCTATACTCTGACATGACCAAGAAGAGATCTCCTGCCTCCTCTGTGTGATGGCCTTTCAAGTACCTGAAAGATGTGATCACATTTTCACTAAGTGTTCTCCAGTTTAAATAGGCCCAGTTCTTTCTATCTCTCCTCAGAGGACTTGGGTTCCAGTTCCCTAATCATCTTTGTTGCCCTTCTTTGTATCTTTTCAAGTTTGTCTTAAACTGCATTACTTAAACTGTGAAGCCTAGAGCTAGACACAATACGCAAGTTGGGGGCTAATTAGTGTCCAATAGGGAGGAAGCAGTACTTCACATGATTTGAAAGCTATTGCTATTAAGCCTCAAGCAGACACTTGTCAATACCCTCCCCTATCAACACTTCCCAAAATCTCTGGAAAGTCCCCAGTGGGAGTTATTGCCTCCCTCCTCCTGTTCTGCAGTTCCTTTCCAGAGCAATTTGACAGGATGCATGATGAGAGTATCATAAACAAAGCCTATGGTAGAATTTCTAAACATTCCCAATACATTTCTAAGAACTAAGAGAACTGTTCTTAAGCCATAAATTATTACACATTTCTCAAAAGGTCAGTGGACCCCAGCATCCATCAATGGAGCTACCACATGCTAGACTATAATCCTCCACAAATCCTATACAATGAATTATGCGTAGAGTTATTCCCCATCTGGTTTTTATTAACTGAGAAGCAAATGAAGTTTGTTTTGTTTCCTTTACTTCACCTAAAAAGGAACACAAACTTCATTTCAAAAAAAGTACAAAGAGAATATTCACAATTTTCCCAGAAAAACCAGGCATGTCATTATAGCAAACTTCTGTCCTGCATTACTTCCTGACATCAAGAGATCTGCAGAATCAATATACCTCTAACTTAGGAAACAAGACTGGATGCAGCAAAACAAGCGTCATTTCAGAAAATACAAACAGTGCACTTCAGCTCTGAAAGGCTCAATCCCACCCTGCTACTAACATAAGCTGGGTCTAAATGTTACCTAGGAACTTGTGCAGAAACTGAGGTATAATGTTGTAGAAAGCAGACAGTACATGCATAGGTAATTTCCCCTAAGTAGTCTAATGAGATGGGGAATTTGTGGGTTTTTTAAAAATTGTATTGGGTAATTACATTCTATTGGGCATAATTAATATTAAAAGCTTTGCTCCCCCCCCCCCATAGCATATACCTTCAATATGGACACTGTTGTTTGGACTGACTAATAATTTCTTTGGCAGGATTCTGACAGACAACTATAGACAAAAAGAAAGCTAGACTGTTCCCTAAGATGAAGCCGTCTGCACAAACTGTTCCCACAAACAGCTGCACTGATTTAATTGTATTATATTACACTTTGTGAATGTAAGTGACCATTACTGTCCTGTGCAACAAGGACAGCATGCCAAATAACCATGGAATTCCTCAGATAGTAAGTAAATTACTCAACTCAGCACTCACTTATGTAGGATACACACTGAAGATGAAGAAAGACATCAAATGACACAAACTGAGTAACATTTAGACCAGGCCCTGTAACTGGATGTGTACAAGCTGTTGCAGAAGGGAAGCATCTCCCCCGCCCCACTTTTATTATTTAGTGTATGATGAGTTCATGACAAAAGAAGAAGCAAATATATACACACAATCCACACAAATATATACAAAACTTCTTCAGGGATACAGCAACAGTCTCATAACTGGATGTCTAGTTCAGCTAGCCAAGCAATTGCTATGTTGCTTTGTACAGATCTTCAAAGGAACTAGGAAACCTATGGCTTGGGCATTCTTGCACAATGTTTGATCATTTGCACGTTGGCACCATAGTCACAGCAAGGAGAATCTTTCCATCCTCACTGATACAGAGCAGAGGCACTCCTTCCAGTATTACTCTAATTCTATTCAGTTTCATCCAGACAGAGTGAAGCAGGTTAAAGTCAGGAAGTTTGGAAGACTTCACTACTGTTGGTGCACTATAGTATTTGAAAGCATGACTACTTGCAGAAATAAGTGTATCCTTAATAAGTGTATGCACATTGCACAGTTTATAAAGTTTTAAACTTATTTAACTTTTGGCAGTACTTTCTAATCAATGAAATACTGAAAAATGCCTTTAAAAACTTCAGAAGTGTCAAATTCCAAAGTTGATGGCTCAAAAAGTTTCAAAACTATTTATAATTTGGATTATATGAATACATCTCAGAATCATCTTCAGTAGTATGTAGAATTAAATAAAGCCAATTGTTTATTTCTGTGCTGCCTTTTTAAGGCTTAGGATGATTCACAAAAACTATGTCAGGAAGCATGAACCAAATTGTTTGCTCCCATTTCTAGATAAACCAGTTGATTGCTTAGCACAGAACTTATGGAAGTAGATGTAAGGATCTCTCTTCACTGCATAGCTTCTGTATATCATACACGTTTAACTAATCCTCAGGCTAAAAATGAACAAGTGTAACCCTTCAGAAAAACACATTGACATTGTTAAAACTGACAAAAATCATCCCATTCCCTCACAAAAACATACTATATGGAGGCATAGCTGAATTAGTGATACCTTCTCTCCCCCTCAGTATATATTCAAGAAAACAAATGAAAACAAGGGTGGAATGTCCCCCCACATGATGACCTTATTTACCTCCACTAAGCAAATTTGATCTAAGAAAAGTATGTGTCAGTAAGACAGACTTTTTAAAAATTGTAAGATAACAACCATCTCCAATGGGGAACAAGATCTGAGATTGAAGCTCATCTGTAGATTTCCCTAAATTTGACATTCCTTTACAAGTTAGCACTGAGTTGCTCAAGTAATCTAGTTGCCTTTCAGGAATGATTGATACAAAAAGTCAGGATGGAGAAAAAGAATCAAGATCATTCTACACATCTGCAACCCTAAATGAAGAGGCTGGACATGGTGACTTACTCACCCTGTAGTTATCCATTAGAATGCCTAGCCATGGCTTTACTGACTTCATCACATCTTCAATTAAATATTTCTCTACTGTAGTACCGTCGTGGAAGGTCAGGTTTCCAACATGGATAGATTTCCTTACTTCTGGCATTGCTAACAGTGCTACAAAATATTCTTGATCCAGAGGCTCCTGTTCTCAAACACACACCACACACAATTTATATTAATATTAAAAATAGAGAAGTGGCTTCAATGACAAACACAATTAAATTATACAACCATTATTCATCCACACTGCAGAGGGTATTTAAAAGAGTCCTAAGAATGTAAAGCATTGCATCACTGAGGATTGTGTAAAATGACCCCTGCAGTTTCATGTTTAAGACTGAAACAGTGAAGCAATTTAACATCTTCAAGCCTATTAACTTCATAAGAAGGAAAACCCAGCAGGTCATAAAAACTGGTGGCACTTGGTAATTGATCAGAGGAGCAAGGAAAAAGATTTGCTTCTGGTGAAATAGCACCACTGCTTTCATTATTCACTGTTTCAAGTAACTACACTCTGACTGGAGCAAGGTCTCAAACAGGTAACATGATAGCCAGTCTCAATTCATAAAAACACTACCTCCTGTAAGAACATAAGGAACAATGCTTGCTAGATCAGATTAAAAAGGCCAGCTAGTCTAACATTTGGCTTCCAGCTGTTCAACCACATACCTCTAGAAAGCTTAGGAAGAGGACATGATAACAATGCCCTCTTCCCAAGTAGGTTTTCAGCATCTTACACAACACATTCTCAATACGGAAATTCCATAGAGCTATTATGGTAAATATCCATAGAGAGAGCAGTTGTTTCTATGAAAAATATGAACAGTCTCCTTCCTCCAGCTGAACCCACTGGTCCAGGACAAAGCAAGCAAAAAGTGGGGGTGATGATGAAGAGATAGACATATTGATAAAATAATCTCTACTACTGCCCAATGCTAGGAGTATGGATTACTAGAACAGGAAAAGAACTTGATAGATTTCCTGCCTGCCACTGATTTGATAATAGGAATCAGACCCAGTCAGACTGTGATTTGTACATATATTTTCAACCACCTATAAAATTAGTGCAAATCAGCATCCCAAACTCATGTGAATCAATTGCTCTTTGTGAACAATTGGTTAATGTGCACAATTATGGGTAATTCTATGCAAGGCATGTAAAAGCATGCACTAGAGTCATGTGGGTTTGGGGTGCTCATTTGTAAAAATATTATTAGGGTTTTGAAAAAAAGCATAGGTCCACCTCAAAGATAGATGTCTGCAGGCTGACTTGAACCAAATCAAAACCAAGCCATTGAAAAACTAATGAACCAAAATCCAGGGGTCCAGATAATGAAAATCCATTGAACTCTCACCACCCCAATGAATTCCACACACATCCCTGGCTAGGAACTCAATATGGTTGCAGGGATGAAACTGGACATCCACCTTTTACCTGGCCAAGCTTTTAACATGTGCTCAAGTTTAAGTGAAAAAGAAGAATTTCCCCCCAAATCCAGTAAGAAAAATTGTTATATTATTAGCACATTCCCTTAGTAGTACCTATATCACCTAATCAAATTATGTTGTACAGAATATAATTTTATAGCTTTAAATGCACATTTACAAAATCTCTAGTTTATCCTATTTAAGAATTGCTCACCAGACACTGCAAGAAATTGTAGTAGTTATTGCATCCTGTAACATTCTGAGTATAGGAGGGTCCTTCAGTTTCATCACCATTTAACAAAAGATCGAACACCTATGAGAAAAGAACCATGACAGTGCAAACATGAGTGATTAAAGTAGACTAACTGAAAACAATTTGACTTAAGGTAGCCGTGATTAACTGTGGTAGGTAGTCTAAATTTCAGTGGAGGTAGTCTAAATATGACTATGTCTGGATGCAAACCAATGTTCATTTTTTAGTTTTCATAAAGCTTCTAAAGAGTCAAAATTTGGTGTCATTCAGTTTTCCATGACTAGTGAAAGGATCCTGGAAAGACTGCTATCTATATGAAAAGGAAAGCTTTGATTCATGTTCTTCGGAACCTACTCCCAGGAGGCCTACTCCTACCTCGCCAAGAGGAAGACTCAGTTTTCTTTACTTGGAGTTAACTCCATTCTCCTTGCTTAGCCAATTTGGAATGCTCTTTTATTCTGTTCTCCACTTATATTATGCACATCTAGCTTATTATACCTCCCTAGATGAGGTTTCAGGAAATGTGACTTGTTTAGTGTCTATAGCACTAACACAACAATTTTGGCGCATTTTTTCAGGTTCCCCACAGAGTGCAGCCTGAAGAAAGAGAAGTGTCTCTCTGGTTCTCAGACTTGGGTCTCCCTAATCTACAGTGTGGTAGGGATACAATTTAGTGGGGTAAATTTTCCCATGGGAAGCTGTCATATGCAGTACAATCATATGTATCTGTAATATGAGCCTGTAATATGTGCAACTTTACTGTAACTCAATAGAAGGTTATGGCTGTATGAATCAAAAGACTGCTTTGTGACTTCCAGTAGAAATACAATATACTGCAGAGACATTCATGGCAAACACCAGCCAAGAGTGTTTGGTGGAAGCTTCCTATTTCCCTTTTCTTCAGGGGGAATTAAAAATTGAAACCATTACTGATGTACACTAAAGGTATTTTGCATGGATTCAAGGCAGCAGATGCAGCATGTTCAAGGACTGTATTTCATCTGCTCTCCTGGGGATAAGCTAAACCTTCTGAGTATGCAATTCATGGAAAAGATCCATGTGTAAATGTACACCAAGACACTGAATTTTGGAAAGAGGCCAACTTAAATTTTATGGAAACACCGAACAATGATTTTATCTCCGATTAGTTCTCCCCTTCTTGTCCCTTCTGCTGCAATATAAATGGACACATTTTCCAGCGCTACGCCTGCATCCTCCATCGCAGCCCCTTCTGACCCCTTACTCTGTTCAGATGGTTCTAATTGCTGAAAGCCAGGATGTGGATCTCTTAAGACATACTTCAAAGGCTTTTCTCCATTTCTTCTGCTGAATGTACATTGCTCCCAGATCAGTCTGATTCTGGATATAATCCCTCTGCTTCTCATCCACCAGGCCAATTTGATATAAGAATTGTGAATAGCCACCCAACATCTGTAAAGGGATTGCAGACAACAATTAGTCAGAATGGTTCTCACCATCTAAAATATAATTTATTTAGTCTTCTAAAAACCAAAGTCAATGCATTAATCTGAGAAAAAAGCATGCTGCCATTTTAAACATAATTTTAAAAGATTTCAATAAAATGTAAGTGGAATGTAAACAGGTTAACTCTGCACACGTCTGCAGCAAATTTACTATTCTTATGTTAAAAACATGTGGTAAATATGAAAAGCTGTTAGCACTATGAAGAAGTCACTTATGGCAGTATTCTTTTTGAAATCTGAGGTGCATCATTCACTTATGCCTACAAAGAATTACAAATGTATACAATAAGTTGAAATCATACCATTTCGGGGTCACAAAGACCATTTCCAATGGCAACTCCTTTGAAGTTGATCTTTATCTTCGAAGTGGGATTATGGGTATGAATATAGTACCCAATAGCAGGTACATACTTTCCTGCATAAGACTGAAAATAATGATGAGGTAAGATGATCAACAAACTTAGTATGAATAATTTTTATTTTTCCTTATATCAAAAAGGCTGCAATCTTATACAAATTTACTTTCCAATGGCTCTGTTAGTTGTGTAATCAGATTCCAAGATATATTTTATTTAAGTTACTGGAATTTTAAGTTCTTTAAACATGATTGGTTTAAAATTTTGTATGGAAACCTTTTTTTTTCTTATGTTTTATAATGTGGTGTATTTTAGATTGTACCTTAATGGATTGTTGTAAATTGCCCAGAAAGCTTCAGCTTCTGGCTGGTATAAAAGATAAATAAATAAATGCAGCTTTAATGACCTAACACTTTAGTGCTATAACTGATATACAGCCTTAATTAACAAACCAACCAATTTTTTAAAAATTGAAACCTTTTTGCTCCTAGTAAAATCCCAATGCTCTCACCGGCTTATAAATATGCAACACAGGAACAGTCTCCCCACAAACCCAACAGATGTCTCATTTTATTATATTGTGCTCACACATCCTAAGCAAAAATGTATAGTTTACTGTTCTTTTGGGCTACAGTTTGATTGATCAGGAATACATCACAGACTTGCTCACTGCCTTTTTTGTCATTTCCTTGAATGCTTCCCTAACCGCAATTTCCAATCACAGTTTGTAGATACAAGTTTGGTTAGCCATTGCAGTAAGGATGTGGAAAGATTTAGCAGGGTACACAAAATGCCATTACAATTCCTCTGAAGATGCCAAACATGGAAAAAGTCAATGTTCCTGAACAAGAGAAAACAGAATGAATGAAAACCTTTGACCAACTGAGTGAAAATAAACACCCAGGTCAAGACAGGCAACAAATGGGGAAAGATAATGCAAAAGAGATTTATAGAACAAGTTGGAAAGGATCCAAAAAAGCTCCTTAACCTGTCTTCCTGTCAGAAAGGCACAATCACCCAACTATTAGTGTCTCTACAGATCAGCAAACCCAAACCAAACAGCAGTGATCCTCAGAGATTAGGCACACTGGCTGCAGAAAATGCCAGAGGAGCAACAAGCTTTCTGTTAGCAAAAATAACTAAAAGGGCTTTCCTGCCTGACAAGGCAAGATAGAATCTGTATTTTCAAAGAAAAGTAGAACCCGAGAACAAAATTATATTGAAAACAATCTCTCTTCGCTAGAACCACACATGTGTTAGCAGTTAGTATCAAAGGATGAATTGGCTAATTTTTTAGAGACAGTTAGCAATAGTTAGCTTACAATAAAAAGCTCTCTCTGTAGATGGATTTCAAAACTAATTGCAGCACCAAAAGAAACATTTCTTGAAGCAAGTTGGGAACAGTTTTGTGGCAATTTGTACAGAAAGATAAACCCTTTCTGTTTGAAAATCAGTGTCTTCAAACAAAGAACTGAGGGCAAAATTATCCATTAGATATTGCCCTTTGGCCTGAGACATGAGGTAAGAAAAGAAGACAAACAAATGACCAGGTAAGAATATCTAATTGTTCTTTGTGGTCTCTGTACATCGCATATACAGGCTCTATATCTGCATGGAGCCATGTTCAAAAGAGACACATGCACAGATAACCACTTGAGGAATGCACACACGAATTTTTGTTACAGATTTATACCATAAGGCACCAGACTGGAATTTCTAGTCACTTTGGCTCCCCCTGCTGGCTTTTTAATGGATATTGTTTTGAGTTATTTTACGAATGGTAAAACAACTATGATCACAAAAATGTTCAGATGTGTGCAAAAGCTAACTATAGCTGAACTGCCCATAGCTTGAACTGTGTGTTAGCAAGGCCAGGGAAATAGAGATATACTTAATAATTATCCCTGTGTGATTACAAGTGTCTCATTTCCAAATTTCTGCTTTTTTACTCGCTGGGATGCAACAGAGTGGGAGAGAAATAGACTGGACAAGTTGCAGTATTCTGGCCTCCCCACCTACAAAAATCCTCCCTTCTACCATTCTCTGAGGCCAAACTCCTGACCTTTTCAAACATGATGCAAGGCAAATTGGGTCTGAGTTCTGACCCCCAACCAGATGATAGTGACTAAGGGGCACAGGATTGTTCCAAATTCAGTGCAATTGGAGAGAAAATCTATTTCTCTCTGCTTTAGCAAAGTATAAAACAGTTCTTTTTTATTGTGCCCTTGATGACTGAACTTGAAGGCTTCCAGTCATCTGAAGCAACGTGGGAAGAGGATGTCCATTTTTTGCTTCTTGTGCATCTTGCAACAGAGCTTCAGAAGGGGACAGAAAGAGATTCAGTCAATGTCTTGGGCCCACAGCACTGTTCCCTTAGGATGCAAACCTATCTATGTTTGGACAGAAAAAAGCCCTATCCTTGGCTGCCTCCAGGATTGCTATGGCATTTTTTTCTGCCTAAACACAGATAGGATTGTGCCCTTAATTACTCTTACTTAAAAGATCTTTGAGCTCATAACTTAGTGAAGAGTTAACAAGTCAGTTCAACTTACTTCTCCTGTTACATAGAAATCGTTTTTCTGATAATCAGGAAAGAGCTGGAAAAACTGGGTGAGGGCACTGAAAGAACAGGAAAAATATCTGTACTGAGGGAGGTTGTAATGAAATTTCACAGCAGTCCTGAATATGAAAATTTGCTAACTTATTTAACTTTATCTCCAATGACACAGCTTGACATCCATCTGTAACTACACAGAAGTGCAACAGTCATCCTCTGAAAACAAAACATATTTTGTTTCAAGAAATACACTGCGTATACGAAAGCAGGAATGGGTAATATGTCACCATTTGGATGCTACTGTAATCCAGACCTCATCAGCCTCAGTTAACATGACCAAGACTCAAGAATGATAGAAGTTGGACATGCACATGGTAGGTATTTCATGAGCAGAGCCAGCTAGAGCCACAGGTCAGCCTAGATGGCCCAGAAGGTCCCTTGTCCCTTGCTCTGTTTCTAAGTTGTAGCCCATCCTCAGGGTACTATATTTCACATGTCATAAAATTAGTTTCCTCCTGAACTATGTATTCTGTTTCACAGTGAGGTTAATTAACAATTAGTCCAGTTAGGGAATTGATATTCATACACAACACACTTTTTACAATCCCATATACTATTTTATAGAATTTAAACAAAGCAGAACATGCATGAAACCAATGTGGCATGGCATATTGGACTTATGTGAGGAACAGATATAGTCAAACCCTATTTTGTGGGGTCAGCCACATAAGCCCATTAGGCAATCCAGGTCAATATCCTAAACACTGTTAAGAGGTTGGGGACTCTACATCTGGATCATGAAACACAAGGCAGGTGGCAGGGTGTTTTCTTTTGTTGGGCAACATATTTAAACACACCTGCTCAACCACTGATGACTGAAGGTATCATTTCTATGCATGTAAGAACCACCATGTTAGGTCAGACCACAGACCTATCCAGCATTTTGTTCATGCAAGGATGCAAGTCCAAAAACAGCCCATGAGTGCAATAGTACCTTCTTGCTCATGTCTCCCAACACCTGGCACACAGAGGCACAGTACCTCTAGCTAGCATATAAAGCATCATGACTAAGAGACATCGATAACCTTGTCCTTACGAACCATATCTGTATATCTCACTTGGGAAGGGACAGAGGACAGATGGACGAACATAACAACACTCTTATCAAGAACAAATGGACCTTCCCTTTTTCTCACATTCATCTGGGTGCCAAGAAATGAAAAATTCTCCTCCTGAGGAGCTATTATGCCACTTTTGACAAACAGGGAAAAAGGTTATAAACTTCTTAAAAGTTTAACTTCCCATGATAGTAATGGGAGGCATGAATTCTCTGGATCTTACCTGAATTCATTACCAAAGCTGGACCAGACAGCTTTCAAACTGCCCCCAAAAGAATTGGCCCAAATACGGGTCTGAATCAAATCTTATGGATGGTGCACATGTCTAGTAATGACATAACATGGATTTTGTGAGGACTGTATATAATGTATATACTTAAAACACCCTCAATGTTTAAAAGAGGACAGAGAGCAAGATGCTAATGGGTGGCTCTTATACAAATTTAATAAATAAGTAAAAGCTATTTGCTATGAGATATGCCATTTTCTGTCTTTGAAAACAAAATGAAAGAAAAATAAAAGGGATGGATCTAAATTTAAGACACCACCCAACAGCAGCTTCTAAAAATTCTACAGAAAGGGTTGGAGGAACTTGCTGCATGAGATGTGCTGCAATTCCCAAAAACAGGGTAGAGACACCTTCCACAGCAAAGTGCTTCTGTCAAGCAAAGGTAGATCCAACCCAAAAACTTTCCTTTCAATTCAAAACGGTTGTTTGAAAAAGTGTTGAAGTATGAGAAACAAGGAGAAGAAAAATGCTCAAGGTGGCCAAACAATTTTTTACTATAAATATTTTGAAAACTCTCCAGAAGGTGTCAGTAATGCTAACTTTTTGGTTGATGTAAAATTTCTGAAATCAGAAAATTCAGCTTGATAGGTTTACCTATATAAATCTCTTCCTACATCATCTTCATTCTCTGCATATCCTTCCTTGTCAGATGTGAAACTGAAGCCAGTTCCAACCTGAAAATAAAAGAAAATACATGATATTTATTATTATAATTAAATTTGTTTGATATATAAGAAACAACTGTTTTCTAGCTTTTTAATTCCTTATTCCCCTTTACGCATACAGTTTTGCCTATGGTGGTAAATTGAATTTAAATATGGTTTTGCACATAGTCCATTAAGAGCTTATACATGTCTGCTATGAAGTCCTACTGAATTTAAACAGACTTAGTCCCAGGTAAGTGGATATAATATTGCAGCTTAAAACACCTTTCCTCACCTTCCTTTTCCTACAGGCTTAAAACTTAAGCCTTTATGTAATAGTTATTCTGGCATAATCTTCTTAAGGTCAGAAATTTCAGTGAATTTGCACATTTTCAACCAAAGGAAACAGAGCCCAATTTGTCTTGTCAAATAAAGGAAAATGAAGATATATTTCAAGATTTAACTATTTAAAATTCATTTTCTCATGCCAGCTAGCTATTTATCTACCAAAATCTCAGGTGATAACCTTAGAACGAAACAAAAAAATATTCCCAAATCACAAACCATCAATAACATGAGGAAAAATTTTTTAAAAGGTACGACTGAAAGAAAAATACAACTAGAGCATGGTCATACAAAGAAGAATTACATGAAATCCATCAGCAATGCTTTAATTGTGTATAGGGTACCTAATAACAGCATACAAGAAGTGAGTGTATATGACATGCATGCATAAGATCCATCCTTTTCAAGCATTTCTAGCTTACCACAGCTTAATGCAATAGGTTTTAATTTAGGAAGTTCTTCTGACTTGTAATCAAAAACAGACTTAGGGGACAAAAGCTGGGTGCCGAGAAATAGGAAGGTGCTACTTAACATTTCTTTCAGCTATTTCCCACTGATCATAAAAATAGAAGAGAATTTTTAAAAACCAAAAGTCAAGGTAGATACCGTGATCTAGTTTGGTCCTTGAGTACAAACAGCCATACTGAACACAACTGGAAATTAGTACAGAGGCTGCTCCACGTGTGAGAAGGGTCAGAAAAGTGCCTTCTTGTAAACCTCTTTCAACATAAGAAGGCCCCTACTGCAAGGGTCTCGCTTGTAACTGAAATGGCGGCTGAGTCACAGCCAATAGCAAAGTGCATCTGAGCTGGCAGTAGCGGGCAGCTTAGAGGCCTTGACAGACATCCAAGAATGCAAAGTAGCATTGCCTAAATTGGCAGGTGGGGTCCTTCTAAAAGGATGTCACATATTTAGGAGAGGGCATAAGGAATGCTGTGGCAATAAGCGACAAAAAGAGAGCACGGGCCTTGTACATTTCCATGTGGCAAAATGGAATGAATCTCATAAGTTTCCATGTGGGTTTTTTTCTGAATTCTTCCCATTTTAACCTGCTTTTAAAAAGTGAAACAATGTTTGCCAAAAGGGTTTTCTACAACATAATTTATATATATTCCCAAATTATCAGTCATCTTCATGCCTTAAAAATACCTGTACTTGTCCTAGCGTAAAAGGGGGCAAAGCTTAAGACTCCCCATAAGAACCAAGATATCCTTTTTTGAGAAGCAGTGTCTGAGAACCTTTTATACTTGTTTACTCAGATACAGGGACCTGGTCTTTAGACATTAGGCAGTGACTCTGGCTAATGATCAAGTTAATTCTTTAGTCAGCTATTGGTTGCCACCCACACGTATCTTCCTTGCATTGTTCCTTTGTCTGAATATGTCATCTTGTATGCATCCCTAGATGGGCCTACTTTTTGCTCAAATTCCAATATGAACAAATGCAATATGTAGCGTATATGCCACTCTGGTCTTGTTAGGCATGTAATTTAAATTAAAAATATTAATAAATTGAAGTTTTGTAAATTGTAAGAATTCAACTTTTTCTTTGAGATCCAAACTAAATTTTGTCTCACTGGCTTGAAACACCCCCCCCCCCCCCAAAATATTTAGAAGCATGTATCTCATGGGCTTTCCCATAGCATTTAAGTCTCTGGCAATATGTGGTGAAGTTAGAGACTCATCACAGTATAGATAAATTCATAAGGAAAATTATTCTAAAATGTATGGGTGAGGACCAAACCATTTCGCACAGGGAGATGATTCTCCTTTGGTGTTATCCCAGTGGTAATGATACAATGAGCCTTGGACCCAAGAATTCATAAAGATTCTGCATTCTATCCCAAAAAAAGTATAAAAAGAAAGCCTGCATAATGTGTTTATTGGAACATCATAAGCTTTTGATGCAGATGCATGGAATACAACCCGACAGCCTGCATGCAGAGCTTTGAAAACGTATTTTCTGTATGTGTAGGGATCCAATGCAATTGCTCCTTTCTGCTCATAAAGGAGAGCCCAGGAATGCACAGAACTCCATGAGCATTTTCAACTCACAGCGGAAGGCAAGCTGGTACCTTCCAGATGTCTGATCATCCCTGAACATTGGCAATGCTCGCTGGAGATAGGAGTTGTCCAAAATATCAAGAAACATCAGCTCAAGGAAGGCTGAGCTACAAGAAACCTTAGTTGTTTTAAATAAGTAAACAGTTCTTTAAAGCTCATAAAGGGATTGTTTTCAAGGTTACATTTTTAACAGAAACTTAAGCAGATAAATCTTATTTTTAACTTACTGGGTTGTCAATGTAGAGCATGGAAAACTTAGATGTCCAAGGAAATTTTCGTTCAGACACTATCAATAGGAAATTAATAAATAGGAAGTCAGAATTAATTTCTACATCTTACAGTATAATCACACCCAAAGCATGGAGAGAGGTCACTGTGCAGTGAATTTAGTGGATCAAAAGAAATTGTGTGTAGCATTCCTTAGAGGAAGCCAGACTGACATACTAAGGTCACCCAGAAATTCCATGTACAAGGTTTTAGTCCATGTTTGTTGTGCAGCAGTGTTTATTGTGTAACAGAACCATGCCAGCATTTATGAAATTATATAGCATTAAATTATCAACTGTTTTGCCTCTATGTTTTTGTACTTTTCTTTCCCCTACATATGTACACAATATGATAGCACTCTTCAAGTACTAGAAAGACTGTCACAGAGAGGAAGGCCAGGAATCGTTCTCAATCATCCCAGACTGCTGGACACGGAATTATGGGCTCAAGTTCCAGAAAGCCAGATTCCTGACTGTTAGGGCAATACAACAATGGATCAATTACATAGCAAGATTGTGCCCTCCCACACTAGAGGCATTCAAGATGCAGCTGGATAGTCATCTGAGAGAGATAGTTTAACTTAAGGCCCTGCACTGAAGAGGGAATTGGACCAGATGGCCTTCTTGGCCCCTTCCAACTATACTATTCTATGACTGATTAACCCATCTATATATAAAAAATGGGTTATTTGGGCAAGCTTCCATAGCTAACACTTTCTTGGTGCATATTAGTGAATTAACCTTTGTACCATTTTGTATCACAAGAAGCTATACCAATGAAACCATAACCTAAAAAGTTTCCAGATGGATTGGCTCAGTATTTCAAAGTACAGTGGAACCCCAATATTCACTGGCTCTGTTACTGCATTTTCACTTAACTATGGTTCACCTTGTTCTGAAAGAGAAGTCGTAAAGTGCCAAAGAGAAGTCATAAAGTGCTTCCTTTAAGTGAAAATTCTCAATTTAACAGGGAAAGAAAAAAAAATGGTATGCCGAGCTTGCTAGATGAGAATCAATCTTCTATTCGTGAAATTGTGGGGGGGGGGGAAACGAAATATATATATGTATAGTACATACAGTATTCTCTATTATCCATGGTTTCAGGCATCTGCTGGGGGGCTTGAAGCCCATTCCCACAGATACAGGGTTTCTGCTGTAATCCCATTACCAGTTCTAGGATATTAAAATATAACATTGGCCTACTTTGTAACATTTGCCTTATGGCTCATCATTTCTTGCCAAGAGAAAAATGACCCCCTCCCCCCCAAAAAAAACAAGAACAAAAATCAAGTATTTCTGGAAGATATTAGCATTTACTGAATTTCTTTAAAGGATGACAAATCATTTGAGTTAAGAACTTGAAATATACTTTTTGCAGCCTGGTATTATTGGACACATAACAAGTTTAATTAATAACACTGACATATGTCCAAAGCCTTTTATGGCTGCCATTCAATCAAACACCATCTTCATGCAATGCTTATTCCTGGCAACACCAAGCATCACTAGATTAATTTATTACCCATTTTCATGAACACACTTGTTCAGAAGAGGAACTATACATTCTCCTGTTATACAAATGTCATTTTTAACAATTATTATTAAAACTCCTTCAATATGGCTATCATTATAGCAGTAATTTTTATATAACTGGTAGACAGTTCTTTCTTTTAAATAATTTTTTATTTATTCTAAATCCCATTCATATCTACTCAGTAAGCCCCATTGAGTTCAATGAGGCTAACTTGTAGATAGGCAGGTACAGGATTACAGGCTAAAATTTCATTCTATTTTTAGAAATAGTAAAAAGTATTATTGTGTTCCAAATTCAGAATTATTTCAGTAATTTTCAACATCAAATAAGTGGACAGTACAGATAAAGTATTCTATTTATAGAATATATAACAGATTTAACAAGTCCAATACTACAAAAATATTTACAACTGTCTAGAACCCTTTAAAGTAAAAACAGATACTTGCATGTGAGATTCTTCTCGACAACATATGGTCCATGTTCAACAAAAAGGCCAAACATGGATGTTCCACCAGGTCCACCTTGGAGCCAAAGTAGAACAGGAGCATTCTCTGGATTTACCTGCAGGACAGAAAGACAAGAAAAACTGAAACTCTTCCTAGATAAACTGAAGGACTGCATTGTTTCAACAGACTATGATAAATTTTCACTACCAATAAACAGCCATAACATAAGTCTATTGCATCTAACTGGTTATCAAGCTAAATGAACTAATACAGATAAACAGCTTCATGTATGGATGCAGCTGCATTTCAGTAAATATATAGAAGCAGACACAATATGGTGAACATTGCATTTTATTCAGTAAGATACAGCTAAATGTTGGCTATGAAGCATAGCTGTAATATAGCTGACACAAATTTTAAATATCCTTTACCAAATATAACTACTATCTTTGAAAGCTTTGATCTGGCAACATATCAAAGTGGAGACTTACGTGAGCAGGAAAGAACCAGAAGAACATATTGCTGTTGTGAGTCTTGTTGACTGTAAGATAACCCGAATAGCTCTTGACATTGGCTCCTGGGAGGGGGCCCACCAGACTTAACATCCTTCCTTTTGAAGAGTGAAAAAAGCACAGTTATCAAACTCAGGGGCTGATAAAGGCAGCATGCAATTTAAGTGTCTAAGAATGCAGGTACATGCTACATATGTAATTCTTATATATGGCTAGAACCAAAATAATGTTAAAATATAGAAATGGATTGCTACTTCTTATTGTAAGAGTAAGGAATAATTTCAAGGTGCTTTCATTCAGGATTTTGGTCATATATTACAGAAAGAGAAAAATGAATGGCGAAACCTAACTTCCACCTAGACTGTCAAGTTTGCAAAAGGTGATCATGCAACAGCTTAGACCGGGGTCTCAAACTCGCGGCCCGCGGGCCAATTGCCCTGTGGCCTTCAAAGCGCCAGCGGCGCCCAGGCCGGCGGCGGGATGAGCGGCCCACCACCACCGCGGTGGTGGAATACTTGATGCGGCCCAGCCTCACCCTGACTCTACTTCCAGCGGCCCCCAGGTAAGTTGAGTTTGAGACCCCTGGCTTAGACCCAAGGAGAACAATGAGCAGGCTAATATTCTCCTCCCCATGGGTGAGAAGAAACTAGATTCCTGATTTAACAGTTTTCTATTTAAAGAAGTCAGGAATTTGCAAACGGGTTTAATGGGTGGGGTATGCTATGTTTCTCTTCCATCTCTGGGTAACAGAATGAAAAAATGAAAGCAAAATGTCTAAGAATACAGAGCAGTACATGCTGGTGATGAGCACCAATCTGTATTATTATGAATAAAAGCTAACCAACACTTCAAGACCAGGATAAGAAATATGTGGCAAAGGCAAATAAAAGGAAGATTGAAATAGTGCCTCCATTTTTACTATTCAGAAGTTTATACATCATGTCAATGAAGAAAGAAAACAATTAAGAAATCTGTTTTCTGCACTGTGACTATATTCAAGCAAATGCCTGGTCAAAAAAAAAAAAAAAAGAAAAAAGAAAAAAAATACTCTTCCTGGCAGTTAATGCTGTCACCAGGAACCTAGTGCTATGTCTGGTCACTCAGGAAACACAACAGAAACGATTTCACTGCATGCTTGTAGGTTTACAGAGCCCGAGATTTAGAAAGCTACTTTTACCTTCCTCAACTCTGCCACTTTCAATGTAAGGTGTTAGAAACAATGGTTGTCCAAAGTCTTTTCCCAATGGCAATGCATACTTCTTTTTAAAAACGCTTCGAAACACACTCCATCGTTTTTGAGCGCTGCCTAGTTCCAAGGTCAAGCTCAGACTCAGCAAAGCCAGAAAAGCAGTTGTCCTGTACATCTTTTAATTCTGCTACCTTAGACAAAATGAGATAAAATGAGACAGTTTGAAACAAAAGCAGAAATACATGCAGTTGCTGCAGTTTTACAAATCTAACTAGTACAGCATTTGCACTTGTTTGAGCCCTTCTCCATCCGTCCCCAAACTAATTTCTTCAGAAAGCAATTCCTTTCTAAAGGCCAAGTGCTCACAGTTTGAACTTAATACCACTTCTGTTATATTTCTCAAGTTCTGAGCTGGGAGAAATGCAAAGATACAAGGTAAATTCAAGACTCAGATTCTAATACCTAAGCAGTATTACTGAGTGGCTAAAGCATGTGAGGAGCACACACCTCTCTATTGGATCTGAGTCAGAAACTCTACATACCTCCTGTTCAAGTTAAAAGAAACATTTAGCAAAAGAGGAATGTCTCAATGAGATAAACAGGAAGCAAAGAATGCTATAGAAAACAAAAACCTACCATAAATTTAACCACTCTGTGCTGTACTGTAATCCTCTCCCAGATGGATGGAAGGCTCTGGAGAATACAGCACACTCCTCTTCCTCCTTATGGGACAAGACACCAGGACTGAGAGCAATCACATGTCACCAGTGCTGAAAGAAACAAATGCACTGCATCTTTTTATCAGGTCTTGCCAGAAGATTAGAGAAGGGGAGAGCAGGAGGTCCGCACCCTCCCAGCCATGATCCACCAATCAAGTTCTTCCCACATACTCAGAGAACACACACTTGCTCTGCTGGAAAGAGAAGGAGACAGCTATTAATGAAAGGATGCCTGGCCAGTTCTAGCAAAGGGACTGCCAGTTTGCTTATCTGAATCATAAACATGCCTGCCTCCCAAACAGCCAACCAAGAATTACAGGTAGAAGCAACTTAGCATGGAAGGGCAGTCCCACACCACAATAACATCTTGCTTTGGTTACTGCAGTACATGCAGCTGCTTTGAAAGTAATCTGGACATTTCAGTTGGCCCCATATAGAGCAGTGAGATTGCATAACAATGACCCAATCCAATTACCGTATGTCAGTGCATTGCAATCTGCATTTACCTCCCCTCCATCTCTGGGCTTAGTTCAAAATTCTAGTGCTTTTAAGCTTTAAAGCCCTAAACTGCTTGGGGCATATATTGCTGCCCAGAACCTAAGTAAGATCACCTTCAGGTGCTTCAATCCAATAAAGTGAGGTAGGCAACTACTATGGAAATCTTTTCAGTGGCTGTGGCATGTTCTGGCCAGGAGCATCCTTTTAGTAACTGGCTTGTTCCTTTCATTGCGAGATTGGAAAGTTCTTATTTCACCAGAATTTTCAGTTTTTAAAACAGGTTTCAGCACTTTTTAGATCATGGTCAATACTGTAGCTGATTTTATTCTGAAAATTAATTTGTTTTAATTTCCTGATTGTTTTATAGGGGTTTTTTTTTTGTTTTCACATTTTTGTACACTGTCCACAGAACGTATTATAAATATAAAAATACTGTAAATAAGAAAAACAAATTCAGATAGCACAATGTTGAGAAGAAACAGGAAAACTCATAAGGGTGTTGGTAAAAGATATGGACCAACTTCTCTAATAAATAATATCAGTAAACCTCTGAACTCCTAAAAAAACATCTATTCCTAATGAATTTAAATGCTCTTCATACAATTATACATGGGGCCTAAAACCCATGGATCATTGTAAACTGCCTAGAGAACTTCAGTTAATGGGTAGTATAGAGGTTAAACAAGGAGTGATTTTTTAAAATCCCATTTTAAAAAGTAAGTAGTACAATTTCAGTTGGCAGATAGGGCACACACAACTAACTACTCTCCTATATGAAATTTTCCTTCATACAAAAAATAGAAAAACACTGTAAATAGCAAACATGTATGTCCAATTGGTGCTAGACTAGAACCCGAATTTCTTTGGGTAGAGCCCCAGCTGCAGCTTGAAGCAATTGACCTTAGACACAAAATAACCATCTTGGTGTAGGTCTTGAAAGAAGGACAATCAAATGTCAGTGTGTCTCATGAATCATCAGCTGAGATTACAGCAGTAAAACTGTAAACCCACAGAAGGGATAAATAGTGAGGATAAGGAATATGATGCGACCTTCCAGACATTGTTGGAATGTAAGTCCCATTAAGATGAAGTGGCATACTCACTGCTGAGGGTTCATCCTTACCATCCACAGTCCAACAAAATCTGAGAGACTACAAACCTCCCCATCTCACCCATAACCCTGTTTTGGGATTCTCCTGCATGTGTGTGTGAAATTAGCTTTTCCATTCACTGAAAATTCCCCTGAAGTTTTTTCTTACAAATAAAGAATTCAGCAAAATAGAGAATGTAGTCCCTTCCTCATGCTGTGAATGGTTATCTTTTTTACAGGTAGGGCAATATATAAAATGTTAATAATACACAACAAAAATATTTTTAAGAGCAGAAGAATTCCAACCATGTGATTCAAAAAATATTTAACATCAAGCCCAATCCGACCTGTATTCAGGATAAATCGTAATGCAATTTTATGCCTCTGCACCTTTGCAGACAGCTGTACTGAAAACAATACATAGACCAAAATAAGAGACTAATTACTGAATAATCAAGGTAGGAAACAATGCTAGTAGCTAAAGTGAAAAATAGCAGGGCTTCAGCTCCTTTTCACCAACCCCTGCAATTCCTAAGGGTTTTCTGGCTCTTTCTAAAAAGGAAAAAATCCATAAAAGTGAGTTGACATCCACACCGGAAAGGAAGAGATTTTCAATCAACAGCCGTAGAAGCAAAATTACTTTTCAGAGTTGTCCTGTAAGCACGGATGCAACTGGGGAGACGAAAGTTAATCAATGGCAATTCCAAGTGTACACAGGGTACATGCAGCAAAGGAACTGCTTTCCACTGCACAAGCAGACTGAACTTTCCTTTGGCCTAGTTCTAAATTGATTTTCTAGAATCACAGATCTATACAGAACAAGCCTACTGTCAGTCACACATTTTGGCCTAGAACATGATGACCTCTGAAGGTTTCTCTCTAGTGCTGGTCTCAAAGAGAAAAATCACTGAAGGAAGTCATGCACACTTTATTTTTGTTTAACAGAGTTTATTGCTGCTTTTTATTCAAAGACTTCCTCACATGTTTCTTTATGCCAATAAAATTTATTACTACATCAGCTCTGAAAAAACAATGTTAAAAACTACCTGAGGGTTGCTCCTCACATTGCAGGTGATACAATTCATCTCTAGGCTTGCCGTTTATCCAGAACTGTACCAGGCAAACAGAACTGAATCAGCTCAGTCACTTGTCAAAAGCAGAGAGTACAGAAGTCAGATAAAAATCTCAAGACACTTTGTTGCCTGAGCCTCCTTCTCAAGTACGTAAGTTAATCAAACTGAACTTCAACAATGATGATGATGATAGGATTGCACACCTAAGGGCAGCAGGTTACCCTAGAGGATGTAGGGCAGGCAGTGTGGCACCACAGGTCTATTCCCCAATACTTCTTTGCTGCTTCTTGCCTCACTTGGCCTAAAGATAGAACCAGCCCTCTTGTAGTTGGTCTTCAGTTATTTGGCTGATGATTTTTCAGCCATTTGATTGGATAATTATTCACTGGTTGATTTTTAATTGTTGTGGTTAATTATGGTTCCTTATAGAAAGTAACCCAAAACATATACAGTTTAATTTTGTGCACTATGCACCTGCCGATGATGTCAGGTGGCTCCAAGCCAAACCCAGGAACTACTAAAGAGAAAATTGATGCAAAAGAACCCAAGTTCCTCATAAACTGTGATTTTTGTCCCAGTATGCATGTCTCATGAATTTTTTGCAAGAAGGGTAGTTTTTCAGAAGTTCTTAATGAATGAAGTATATTATTTAATTGCAATTAGGAGTGCCCTACCAATTGTTTCTTGGTCACATTACTTGGACAACTTACTTTACTTTCACCTGTGTGCCTTCTGGAAAATGGGTGTTGTTTGTTTGGACACATCCACCAAAGCAGTCATTTTGAGAGTACCACTTTCTCAAAATTGCAAACATGGTCACTCGTTCAAATAGGCTGGTAATCCCTGGTTTAAAATAAGTTTCTGAAGAGAATAGAAGTGGATAGATTCCAAGAATGAAGGCATTTTATTCTGTATCCCTCAATCTTTTAACTAGCTACAAAGCCTTGGGATGCAAGTGTCAGCCTCGGGCTCTGACATACACGCTGGAAGTCAAACTGCTGTTGAATAAATGGTTCTCCCTGTGAAGGCATAAGGATGTTGCTTTGAACAGATTATCTTCTTTTAATTCCTCACTCTCTGCAATCTCATAGGTATTCCTGTCCTCTCACCATCTCTCCTCAGAATCTACTGTTTGTATGTCTTTCTCAATCTCCTCAGAAAGCATCCTTCTATTCCCTTAGTTGGCATTCTTAGTGCCAGAAAAGTACTATACAATCCAAGCTGTGCCTGTATCAAAAAAGTTCATAATTACATTGTTTCTTTCACTTGGCAATCTTTTAGACCATCCAGTGACATGAAGAAGCATGGCTAATCAAAGGTTTAAAATTCAGAGACAAAGAGCTGGAACAAAACAATCTCCACTGTGGTAAAAACACAAGAAACACATTAGTTCCACTCATATAAAACCAGCCAGCCGCTTAGGCAGTCTTATAAATGTTGTCTGAATTTCCTTGGTGAATGTAAAAAGACAAACAATGTTATCAGGCTCCCACAGTTTTTCTGAATGGGGATACATGATCAGCCAACCTGAAAGGGCATCCAAGACACCATTTTCTTGTTGAAATGCCAAATCCACATTGGACTGGACAGACCTTTCAAACTTTGTATGGTCCTTTCAAGATGTTTACCTGTATAAAAATGTCAACACTTTTGCTATGGACCTGGGAACTAGGTGTCCCAGAAAAGGATGTATGGCATGAGGTACAAGTGAATTTGTTTCCTTTTGTATTACTGTTCAAAAAGAAAAAAGAGGCATTTTTAAAAAACTTGAAATTGTATGGCAGCACATCCGATATTATTTAGCAAAGTCATAATTTTGTCTATGTGGTGGTGAAGCATTGCTGTTGAGACATGCTGTGACAGTGCCACTGTCTTAAATTAGTTTTAATAATAAACCAGTGCAATTTCTCGTGGGTAGCTCGTTCGTCTGATTTAAACAGCGGTTGATGAAGATTACTATTACTCTAGCTTCCTCATCTGCAAAGCCAGAGAAATTAGAGAAGAAACTGTGCTAAAGTGGTTATGCATACGTGACACAGAGGACTTTTGTTTCTTACAGAGTCAGTGAGAGTGCAAAAAATAGAAGCAAAATAAATGAAATAGAAATAATGAGTCTTTAATATTGGAGCTCATTGAAAGTTCCAAATAGAAACTTTTAGGTGGCAGCAAGAATGAGATAAATGGGAGCTGCAGTGAAATGCTGCAGTGTTTTGCTGTTCATGGTTCTAGCCAGCCACCCCATCTTCTGTAATACTCCATTCCATTCCATTCCATTCCATTCCATTCCTGGTCTCATGACTTTTGGGTGGTGGTGGTTCTGTCTCCGAAGTCAGCCTTCCATGGCCACTGAGCATGCTCAGTCCTTCTTGGGCTATTTTTCTGGTTTCATCTGCTTTTTTTTCCCTAGAGAAATTTTCTGAACATCTGCAAACCTTGGATTCTCCTAAGCCTGCTCAAAACCCCCTATTGTACAGGGGTATTGTTGAATTGAAAATGAGTTTGCTTATAGTATGTAAAACTGAGTGCCCTCCCAGACACTCACCTGTTTACCTGTATCCTTTTCATGGTAGTAATAATTGATATCTTTAAATAAAGAAAACAAAGAAGTGTTACTAGAATGTATGAAAATGCCTTTAGTATTTTCTAAGTATTCTGAAACTGTATTTAGTCCTAACACCATTTTAACTCAGTAACATGTTTTTGGCTAATGAAAGAGGCTCAGAGGGTGGGTTAAAGTGTTAGGGAAAGTGATTATGGAAATATACTATTCTTTCCTTTTGAACACATTTAAAATAAATTAGCATTGATTCTTGATTTATTTAGTTTACAAAGGAGATGTGAGGATATAGTTAAAGAAGAAATTATGGAGCGGCTAAGGAGTCAATTTCACACCTTACATTAATATAATTGGTCTCTGTTTTATAACAGCAGAAGTTGGTATATGTGATACCACAATGAGTCGTACATTGAATTTTTGCTCTTTCTACTGCTTCATGTTTCCCCAAACATGTTTGCCAGTTTCTAAAGCCAAGGCCATGCTGTTTTAATGAAAATCTGGAAAGAAAACATAATGGTGCCTAGTGGAAAGATAGCCCAATCAACAAGTCACAACAACATAAATTTTCAGAGTGTTTACATTAGGTTCTGCTGTTGTGAAGATCCAGGAGCATAATGACATTTTGAACAGAATTAAGAAAGACCTGAAAAGAGAACTAGAATGAAGAAAAAGTCTTTTGAAGAATCATATGGGCTACTTCAGATGGGTTTTTCACTCCCATGGGTTTCTGGGCCCTAAATTGTGAAGACAATGTGACCTGGAGTAAGCATTGGTCAGAGATGGTTTTCACTCTGATTATTTTTGTTGTTCTGATTATTTTATTGTTCTTTTGTTATTCTAATTAGTTTTACAATGAGATGTATATGGGGAAATCTAATAAGATACATGAACCCAGAGGTTTTTTTCCCCTTTTTGTTGAGCAGGAAGCTTTTCCAAGCTAAATTCTAGGAGATTTTAAACCTTCTAAATTTTAGGTCATCAGTATTTACTGATATAGCTGGTGCAGAATGGACCATACAGGCTGCCTCTACAAGGTCAGAAAAGCTTATAGGTTGGGTAAAGGAGGTACTCTAAGAGAAAAGAAATGAAGAAGACTGGAGCTGCCAGGATGCAAGGTATCCTGGTGATGTTCCAGCATCATTCTTTCCCTTTATGAATAATCTCAGCTACATAGCTACAAAAAACGAAGCAGAGATTACTTGAATACAGAGTTCCTACTGAATGGAGTTCAAGTAGAGTTACCCCAACCTGTGCTATATTATGGAATGTATGAGCCGTAGGCAGCTGGGAATTTGGTGACATTCATCTGTTGTGTAAGAATTCTTAGGCAATCCTTTTGGCATGAATGAGTTGCCTCAAGAAGTTGGTCAGTTAGTTTCATGTAAGAATTTGTTCAACATCTGGAAGACAATTCCATTCAAATCATCAGTGCATGTATTAATTGAAGCTATCTATTATAACCTGCCTTTCGGTATGAATAACACTGTAAAGCGAATCTAAACAATCCTAGAGCGCAGCAAATAGCAAATTAGTAAAACCATATAACATTCTTATGACATTCCAATGCATATGCAGAGCACATGCATGCCTAAAGAACACCACGTCTAACATGTTTTGGAAGAAGAGGAAGAAAGAAATAGCGTTGGGGACTTTCTTGTCAAAACACTCCATAAAACAAAACGTTTCAGATGCTTCATATCTCAACTGCTCCTTTGCAATTACTTGATAAGGTAGGCCAGCATAACTTAGGGTGGAGAAGAAAGGGGAGAGTTGGCAAAATAGTGGTTTATCAATGTTAGTTTGTTTCTGTGGTGAAAATTTAATATGGAATGTTCTGACTCAGACTCTTAGTGTTCCAGAGACCATGAGATACATTGGATGTTCCTCCCAACAGCACAGATACTCACAGCCTTGAGACAAAGAATCCGACATTCAGTTGTTCCTTTCCCGTTGCAACAGCAGCTTCAAGGAGATCAAAAAAGGGGGTGGGACAGAGAGAAGGAAAAGTTCAGGATCATAATCCTCTCTATTACCACCTTGTCAACTGCTAATACGTCAGCTAGGAAGGTTGACAGAATTTGTGCAGTTTTTTTCTGGGGTGGGGGGAGAGTCAAAATCCTCTCCATCATTCTACCAGAACTGCCTGGCTTTTGCCAGCTGAGTATATAATAAAAAAGGACTCCAATTTCAGAGTCATTTCATAGTCACTATACTTCACAGCTCTCAGTCTGAATTCTTATTCAACCAGCAAAAAGGTTGTCTATTTTACACTGCTGGCTTCTGAAGACTGAGATGCGGAACTGGAATTTGGTTATAAATGTGATTATGTTTGGTTAACAAAGCCAAAAATCTTCATTGGCAGAACATTTCTGAACAAACCAAGGACAGCTTGCCAAATAACTTCACCATGACAGCTCCCAATCAGTGAAGTGAATCTGAGCAAAACAAAGAAAAAAGGATGATTTTGAAGATTAGGAAGCTAAGAAAGGAGTTGGTTTCCATCATAGTATTTCACGATCACACAGACTACATTTTGCTCAGCAACACCTTGCTAATCTTTCAAGGAAATATGGGAATCCTTCAAGTAAATGCAAAAACCTTTCAGATTATGAAAAAAGCTATCAAAGCAGAAATAATTTATGAGAAGTGCTACTCAGTTGTTACAGCTAAACACTTCATCAATATAAGAAGCCCTTAGTTTCAGTTACATAAATAATAACATTTTAAAATCAGAGTTAGATGATGTTTTTATCAATATCTTCTGATTGGTTTCAAGCTTTATATGCAAGTCAGCACCTCAGCTACGAAAACATGATATAGGAGGACTAATAAGCCGGCAGAGAGATGGAGGAGTATGACCCTGCTGATACTCCTGGACCATTCAGCAGCTTTTGATACCATTGATCATGGCATCATTCTGGGGTATCTGTCTGAGCTGGGAGCAGGGGGTACTACATTACAGTGGCTCCACTCCTACTTGGAGGGCTGTCTCCAGAAGGTGGCACTTGAGAAATATTGTTCAACCTCACAGATTCTCTAGTATAAATTCCCCCAGCCAAGATGGAGATGTTGCTGGAGGTGGTTCTCTGACTAGATGAAGTGTATTCAATCTATTCTAGATGGGGCTGCACTTATCCTGAAGGAGAGGTTCATAGCTTGGGATTCTCCTTGACCCATCTTTGTCATTTGAGGCTCAGGTGGTCTCAGTGACTCAAACAGCTATCAGCTTTGGCTGATGGCCCAGCTATGTCACCATCTAGACAAGGATAACCTGGTTTCAGTAATCAATGTTCCTGTAACCAATAAATTATGGGTCAATGCAGTCCACATAGGGCTGTCCATGAAGACCATTCAGAAGCTGAAGCTCGTACAGAATGTGGAAGCCAAATAATTGGGACCAGTAGGTCTGAACACATAAGACCACAAGTAAGACATCTGGTTCACTTCCACTGACTGCCTGTATGTGCCCAGGTCCAATTCAAGTTGCTGATTTAACCTATAAAGCCTTTCACAGCTTAGCACTACAATACCTGTTCAGGTGCCTCTCCCAACTGCATAGTCAGATAGTGTGCTCACTCTCTGGGGCCCTTCTCCAAGTGCCAACTCTGAGGGAAGCTCAAAGGGTGGTAACAAGTGAGAGGCTTTCTCTGTGGTGGCCTCCCATCTTTGAAGCAACCTCCCCATTGTGGCCTGCCTGGCGCCAACCTTGTTATCTTGTCAGCACCAGGCTGACAGCTCTTTATGCCAAGGCTTTTAAAGATTTACTTGCTTACCTAATGGCTGGACGAAATTAGTCACCCCATTCTTTACTGCATGTTTTACCTGTTTAACAGTTTTTAATGTCTTTTTTATTGTATTGTATTTTATTGTCTTGTTTTTATGGACTATTGCAAACTGCCCAGAGAGCTATGGAGAGATATAAAATGAAATAATAACAGTAGTAATAATTGCAACCACCACCACCACATTCTTACTTGTTAACTAGTAAGGGCACAATTCAATTGTGATGCCCATAACTCTTGGAAGTCAGAGGATTATGGGCATCCTGCATATGCTGGGGAAAGCACAGAACGTCCATGTTTTTCCTACCCTGAAAAGTGCTTAATCAGCACTTACATGGTATATTATAAGATAAATTGTACTTGGTGACAAGGGTCTTCCCAATTACCAGGACCCTGCCTACTTAGATAACTCCAGAGAAGTAGCTAAGGCAGCCCTTTCTAGGGAGGGAAGGGTGACTCAAGCGTAAATCTCCAGCTAAGAGATTGGAGAAATTTTCCAACTTCGTACCTGGAAATCCAAAAACTCCTAAGGCTGCCCAGATGGTATCTAGTGGCAATAGGATTGCTCTGTAAATCGAGTTATTTATCTTCTACTGCTGTCAGACTTTCAGCAGGACTACTGAAAGGAACTGAATGAATCCATCAGCCAAAAACAATTTTAGGATGAAATTATATGAATGTTTGGACAGAAAAAAATCCTGCAGCATGCATAGAAATGTACTGTGTAAATATCTTCAACAGGCCTCAGCAACACTAAATATCAGCAAATGCAGATTTTGTACCTGTAGTGTTCCCCCTTGTGGTTTATACTGATGTTTGTATTCCTGCTTTCATAGTTAAAATGTAAAGGAATACAAACAGCTTATCTTTGTTTCAAGAAAGCTAAATAATTGTTCCAAAGGCAACAATATGCACAATGGTATATATAGAAATTGAAATATACTGCCCCTCTGCAAAAAGCTCCAGTCATTAACTTCATAGACATTGTCTAGATTTCATTATGTAATCCTGTCTCCATTTCAATGATTGCATCTATTATACTAAAGGATGAGCATCTACCAGTTTCAAAGCAGTAGTTTTATCACCTCTTTGGACCTAATTACTCAATGATTTTGGCTAAAGAGAAGAATTTGGGCAACCCACTCCCCATTAACAATGGCAGCTTATCAAGGAGATAACAGGTTTTCATACTGAGACCATGAAAAGCAGCAGTTCAACTTCCTCTTGTTAATGTTGTGAACTATTCCACTGCATTGTTGTAAGTATATCCAGTCTACTTTTCTCTTAGTATCACTTCCCATTGTTCTCTAACAACGTATCTGGTAGCACTTCAAAGAAGTCTTTGGAAACTCCCTTAAAAAAAAATTCAGTACTCTGCATTTGCCCACCCTAATCAACATTGAGTCTTGAACTTTTTTTTTTTTTTTTTGGCTGCTCTTCCAATGCAAAAGAAATTCACATTCTCCTTATACACACCATTTGCCTCACCCAGTCCTACTTCTTTCCATGCTGCTACAATAACTTTCTTTGCTATTATACTCTTTGGCAAAGGTCCCAGACGTCCCACCAGCATCTTAACCCAAATTTGAATTTCCTCTGTTCTTTGGTAGAATAGGCTTACTTTAGCTGTGTTATATTATTTTGTTTATAGTATGGGCCCATTTGCCGACCTTTTCCGTGTAGTACACTACAATCTGTACAGAATGAGCTAAATGCTGGTATTTAATGCAGGTCATCTACCAGCTAATTGGGCTACATCATATTATTTAATCCAACTGTTGCATTAATCAACGTTGTTTTGTTTAATTACTTGAACACCATCTGAGTCTAAGAGGGTATTTTAACAGCAACATTCCTTAGCCAACTATCTAAGAGAAACCTGAGAATGATGTTCTTGAAGGTGCTGAAAACAGGCTTTTTTTGGCTTTTTTTAAAAAGTGATCTTGATAGTAGGTTTTAGCTACAGAGGACAAGGTGACATTAAACTATTTCCCCCTTCTGCTTGCAAAGCTATGTGTGTACTCAGGTAGATAAGTAGGTATTACACTTCCCGTATACTGCTTTTAAAGAAAGGAAAAAAGCTTTATTAAAATTGCTCTGTGCTCTGCTGGTCAGCAATGATGTTGAGATGTTATCTAGTAGTGACGGCTACACAGAAATTATTGCAGCAATGCCAGTAATACCAGCATATCTAAGATCTTGTTTTGGTTTCAAATTAGAGCTCTGTTTTTCATTGTACAATCAACTGTCTGGCAGCCTAGCAGCCTCCTTGGCATCCCTTACTTCAGCTGAAGCCAGGACTAAGACATCATGAGATAATTCCACCCAAAGGTGCTTTTTTAATGCATCAGAAGCACAGACAGTCTGAAAGCTAGAGGGGAATGAGCACATGAGTAAAAGAAACAAAATACACAAAGCAGCAGCCTTGGCCACCTTGCATGATTAAGTAAACTCAACAGCACCAACAAAATAAAGGCTAAATATATTACAGCATACCCTGGAAATGAAATAGCAAAACAAAGATTTCATTGAGGAAGAAAGTTTTAGGAAATTAGGGGCCAGATTCTGGCAGAACATTAGCTCCATCTCTTTCCTATACTGTAGTTCGACACTGCTCTGTTCACACCTATTGCAGGGCTTTTGGGAAGCAACAGAGTTATAGTATTATTATATTTATTTATATCCTGACTATTCCCAGAGACTGGTACTCAAGGTGGTTCACAACATTCAAATTAATACAATTAAAACGTTCAAAAGTATACAAAAGTTAAAATCATAATTAAATCAATTAAATATTAAAATTGAACCACTTACCCAAACCACAAAAAATATAAGCAATAAGGCATCTACATTAGAGACAAAATGTATCCATAATCACACCAGAGGAATTTAACATTTGGAATACCTTGAGAAAGCTGCTGAACAATGAGTTACACCAACCCCCTCCCACAAAAAGTCATTTTTTTCCAGAAATGTTCTGAGATGTTTCTTTACCATCCTAGAAAAGGACACCTTACAGTATTTTATCTAAATTTTCTTCACCTTTTTTTGCTGCCTTCTCTAGGTGTGGGGGAATCAGAGTGGAGCCAGGCTGCCAGGTACCAACACAGTTGATGTTAATTGTCACTTGTAGTGGTAGCACAGATTTTTAAAAAAGTGGGGTGAGAGAGAAGAAGCTATACTACAAATGAGCCTTATCTATTGGAGAAACTATTGGAGAGTTTCCCCTTTTCCCAGAAAAATTCAACCCCTTCCCCCACTGCCATTTCTCTGCTCTTTTCTGAGGAGGAGAGTTTAGAGATGCAGTTATAACCAAGCTGTGAAAAAAGAACAGGTATTACAGTCCATGACAATCCTATTTTCTGTTTACAAACTGGCTGTGTTCACACACAAAACTAAACTTTGCTGTGCTCTAACCATGCATCATGGTATCTCACCTTGCGTCCTGAGTTCACACACTTTCATGGTTTCCATGATTCTCCATCATCCTTCCAAATGCCAGCATGTATATCCCATCAATCCCTGTGGCTCAGAATCAATTCCAGGGTGCATTCTCCTCACCACCCCACCCTCACTGGCCCATGGGCCTAGCCTCAGCAGGCTGCTTTCTGAAGAGGGTGTTTCCTGCTGTTCTGAAAAGAAAATGCCTACTCACCAGAATAGCACGGTTGCTCTAGGGGAGCCCAGAGGGACTGCCCCCCACTGCTGCATTGCTCTGCACCAACAAGCAAGCACAGACACATTCCTGTCCCTGCTCCCTTGCGTCTACTCCACATACCCTCATGCAGAGGATCCACATGTACTGTCAGGCACATGCAGGACACCTGAGCAGGCAGGCCATGCCAGGAACAGAGGGTGCATGTCCTGCTAGAATGACTTTCCAATGGGAGCACATGTGGGCGTCTGCCTGGCAAAGTTTTCTGGTGGCTTCAAGGGGTGTCTTTGTCATGTGGCTGTGATGGAGGAGTGCGGGCAGCAGAGCTTGTTGACAGCCCTCAGGAATGCCAGGAACAAGACAGGGACAGTGGGAAGGGTGAGAGAGAGAACCAAGACCTGGACTTCTCAGGGCAATCACCTTGATGGCATTGCCCACACAGAGCCAGTGTGCTCCTCTTGCGCAAAGCTGTCTTTACAAGAGAACAGATATGCAACCATTTGAAAGCATTGATCTAGCAAAAGGCAGCAAGCAACCAGGCAGAAGCGCCGAGTAAGACTGCCTCAATGGTTGCTGCTGCGGGAGATTACCTGGCATGCTACCCTGATGCTGCTGATATACCAGAACTGTGGCTGGGCATCAGAAAGGCAGCACAAAAAGAAGCCCGAGGCAGACAATCAGAGCATGGCTGCAGCTGCCTGAGCAGCTGCTAGGATGAACAGGGCAGCCACAAATGGAGGCTGGAGCTCTCGCTGCCAAATTGGATGACCAAAACGTGGAAACCTCAGAAAAACTTTGTAACTGGATTCACACATAATGACAATGCTGAAGCACAGACTGGTGAAGCACAGAAACTTTACAACAAACTGTTGATTCCCTGTAGGGATTCATGGAAACCAAATGTGCCACACTTCAACATGGGTGCTGAACTCACACATAACAGCCAGCTACGCCTGTGCAGTTTCCAG